CTATATATATATATATATATATATATATATATATATATATATATGTATATATATATATATATATATATATATATATATATATATATATATATATATATATATATATATATATATATATATATATATATATATATATATATATATATGTATATGTATATATATATATATATATATATATATATATATATATATATATATATATATATATATATATATATATATATATATGTATATATATATATATATATATATATATATATATATATATATATATATAGGTGTGTGTGTGTGTGTGTGTGTGTGTGTGTGTGTGTGTTGTGTGTGTGTGTGTGTGTGTGTGTGTGTGTGTGTGTGTGTGTGTGTGTGTGTGTGTGTGTGTGTGTGTGTGTGTGTGTGGTGTGTGTGTGTGTGTGTGTGTGTGTGTGTGTGTGTGTGTGTGTGTGTGTGTGTGTGTGTGTGTGTGTGTGTGTGTGTGTGTGTGTTGTGTGTGTGTGTGTGTGTGTGTGTGTGTGTGTGTGTAATACACATGACTTCTTTTTTTAATAGGCTAATCACACTTTAAGAAATAAACATATTGCAAGGTCTTACTTGATACAGGCAAGCCAACCCCACAATTATTCTTACATATCTGGTATTTATACAAGGATTGCCACACACACACAAATATATACACAAAGATGCAGTGGAACTGAAGTGGGAGCTCCTTTCTGTTTTATCATATGCTTGATGTACTTCTCAATCATTGTTGTATACCTCTCAACATCAGTAGCACCACCAATATAAATAAATATATATATATATATATATATATATATATATATAATATATATATATATATATATATATATATATATATATATATATATATATATATATATATATATAATATATATATATATATATATATAGAGAGAGAGAGAGAGAGAGAGAGAGAGAGAGAGAGAGAGAGAGAGAGAGAGAGAGAGAGAGAGAGAGAGAGAGAGAGAGAGAGAGATAGAGAGATAGAGAGATAGAGAGATAGAGAGATAGAGAGATAGAGAGATAGATAGAGAGATAGAGAGATAGAGAGATAGAGAGATAGATAAATAGATAAATAGATAAATAGATAAATAGATAGATAGATAGATAGATAGATAGATAGATAGATAGATAGATAGATAGACAGATAGATAGAAGATAGATAGAAGATAGATAGATATATACACACACATACACATACACACACACACACACACACACACACACACACACACACACACACACACACACACACACACATATATATATATATATTATATATATATATATATATATATATATATATATATATATATATATACATATATATACGCAATACCTACACTGCAGGAAGCCCTTTAAAACTGCCATATCTATATTATCAAATGTAAATAGAAAGAGGTAAATCTTGAAATGAGAACCATGTTAATACAGAGAAAAACTTTGTTAATCCCCTTAAGGAGACCGTCCCTGAGAGAGGGGGGAGGGGGTTAAATTATGATAGTTAGCGTATAGTATAGGTACATGGATGAGGAAACTACCAAACGAGTATTAACCGCCTGCTATGGCTCGTTGTCATGCAGCCGGCGTGCGAGTCCCTCAGCACATGGAGAGGTACGTTGCTAATGAGCGCCCAGGTACACCTATGTGGACTTTTGCTTGCGGCAATCGTGCATAAGGCATTTAATTATGACATTGCGCATAGATATGAGTTCATGAATGTTAAAGGAACACTTTTATACCAATATCAGGAAAAAATTATATCACCGTGATTTATGACGAAATATTTTGTGAAATATATCTAAAAAAAAATGTATGTTTTGTGTCCTTTTACACACGAAATATGCTTTGATCGAGACTCCCTGGTAATATGTTTTAGTTTACGTGGTAATATATACGTATATCACATACGAAGCACTAATGTTTAAAAATAGCCTTATAAGGAAGGATTGAAATATTTCCGTTACATTTCGCTCAACGGTCGGTACATCACAGCAGGGGGCAATTTGAATTGATTTGAAATTGATAGTTACCATTGTAAAGACCAATTCAATACGAATGTTACCTAAATGTCGGATTTTTAAACTTCGGATGTATAAGCGAGATACAGATTATTTCATGTTGAAGATGATAGTACTCAGTAATACCTGCTCTGAAAAAAAACTATATGGAATTTTGAGCTCGGTTGTATGCGTAGTCTTCGTCTGGCGTTCAAAAAGCTATCGCATCCGTTTCGTGCGTTCCCGATAAAAATGAATATGTTTAGACGTTACCGTAAGTCTTAGGCACCATAAATTGGCAAATATCCCACAACACCTAGGCGTCTGCATGATTTTATGCACTTCTTAGTAAAGATAATGGGTGCAAATGGCTAATCATAAACTTTACACTTGTTCTCCTTTGCAATCTGTTAATATTGACAATTATCAAAGAAAATGGTATGAGAGGGATAACTAATATATTTTATTTTTTAGATATGAAAGTCAATGTAGGCCTACTAAATTATGATGATTAATCTTTTTAACTTTATGTGCATGCGTTCACGTACATATGATCCTCCTCGAAAATTATAAACACCCAGTGACCATCTCCCCCTCCCCCACCCCTGTGTGAGGCATGGGGAATATTCAACGACTTTCGTAAGTTCTCGAATTCAATGTACTAAATTCATATGCTTTTGAAATTCTCAAAATTGAACCACCATGTTGTATTCATGCCAGGACTTTATAATTAGAATGATTTTGTACTAATGTTGCCATCCACAGTTCCCCATTTCAAAAAAATAATAATAATAATAATAATAATAATAAAAAAAATGGAAAAAAAATATATATATATATATTTTTTAAAGGTTTTTACCTGGTTTAGATTAGTTGTCTCTATGGTAAAATGCATTCATTAAGCTTTTCACACGAAAATATCAACTTTTATGAACAACGAAAAAAAAAAAAAAAAAAAAAAGTTACATACCTTTACAGAATAGCGTCCCTATTGAACATGAAAATTCCTATTGACTTGGTAATCATTGCATTGCAAAGTACACTAAATAAGCATTTTTTTGATATATTATATCATTAGATTCAGAGAAAAATAACAGAGATAACGAACTTTGGCAAGGTGCCAAATACAAAACGCCGTAGCTCCGCCATTTTTTTTATGAATCTTCGGTACATCCCAACTCACGTAATTTTCATGCGATCCAAATGCAGTTTGTTGCTTTCACTAGAGCCTCGGCGTCCCATGGCCATGTAAAAGGCCGATTTTTGAATTTTTGCCTTAAAAAATAATAATATTTTAATGCTGAAAAAAGAATTCAAAAATAGTTCTCTATGTCAAGCTGTCCCCCGCCAAAAAAAAAGGAAATTCAAAATTCGGCCTTTTACATGGCTATAGGCTATAGTTGATCTAACACTAGTATTTTTGGGGGAATATTCTGTAAAGAGCTCTGATAGTTGGGATGTACCGAAGACATACCAAAAAAACAGCGATTTTTTTCAACTTTTTGGGGGTGCCCCCCCCCCAATGGGGGAGCAAAGTTAAAATTTATATATATAACGGAGCGCAATTCTTTACTCTATAGCATGCAAAAAGAATCAATCAGTTATCTCTAACCAATATTTTTTTATGATGTATAGAGTAGGGAAAGGTGGCCATTTCCCGGGACGGTCCCCTTAAAAGAACATATAAAACAGCACTACAGCCACAGAAAACACTCTGCAAAATGTGAAAATAAGCTGATTTCACTTCTTGGTGACACATATGATAGCTGTAACCTGTGTTCCTTTAGTACCCTGGTAAAAAGCCAACACATCTATATCATGCATATTCTGGCAAGGTAAAGCTCTTATCATCCCTGATGATTTGCCATCAAATAAGGAAGAAGTCCAAGCTCTATCTTACCAAAGACATGAGGTACTGGTCTGCTGGCCTTTGTTAGAGCCCCAAAAGCACAGTGACCATGTTGATCACAGGAATTTTTCTCCACAGATGCTGTTCTAGATTCAAGAATCACTTACAAAGTTTACACTATCCTTGAAGAGAGGCCACGGTAATCACAAAAATTCGCATCTTAACCTAAGTTATCCTATCTTCAAGAGTTACACCATGTTGGACGTGTGTTTTAGTCTCACGTGACATTTATGGAATTTTTGTGATTGATAGCTATTCGTATTGATTACCAGCAATCACTGGGTTTGTCATCTCAACAAATGTCTTGGGTTCATGAATTACCCATACAACTTACATCACTTCTGAATTTCACTTATAAAACTTAACAGCTAAAGTGACCTCTCTCTGAGTCTAACCACAGCTTTACATATTACTTTGTGCATGATCTCTGAAAAAGGCTTACCGATTCATAGTTGTTCCTGAAGTTTTGATCACCAAAAGTATCAACTAAACAGCAGGGCTCCTGTAACAGCCTCCAACTTCTCACTAGCTACCTTATCTCTAACCCATATTGTATTGAAACATTATCAGAGATGATTCATTCTAATCAGGTAGATTAGATACCCCTCACTGATCAAAAAGGTGTAAGCAAATCAAATGTATATTCTTATCTCTACTGCTTGGTACTGTCTGCCTCTATCACTACACTAATACCTACAGTCACTTTGTGGCCCATGCCTTCTCCTAGATAATCATATAATTCTGGTTCCCACCTCTTTCCTGCTGTAAAGGGAATGTCCCAAGTGTGGAAATAGTAAGTAAAAATTATCCAACCAAATACCCCCAATGTTCAACACTGCAAAATGTAATATTGCATTTAACACAGTTATCTCCTAGCTTCTTAATGCTGTATCTACTGTTTATACTTAGTTATAAGTATATATTTCATTCAATTATGTTTCTGTATTTTTTTTATTATTCACTCACGCAAGAGGTAACTGCAGTAACTTCTTTCAGCCCCACTATGCATTATACATAACTTACAACAACAAAATATTTAGGTCTATAAAATAAAGCTTTTACATGCCAAAGACTAACATCTACCTTTATGGACAGAGAGGGTGGGGGAATTCTAGTTTCAATTATTTGAAAGAAGGAGAAAACAACAATGCAGTCTTCTCAAGGAATAGCCAATAAATTTCTGTTATATAATTTCGGGTAACAGAACAGATTGGATTGGTTCCATTTCTGACAATTAATTACCAGCTAAAATACAGGTGTTGGATTTTGTTGGCCTTTCAAAGAGTAAACAAGCTATACAAGCCCTCGCCAACTTTGAGTCACTACAAGTGTATTTTAGAATCAAATAGGTGTCACATTTTTTCTCTTTTTTTGGCAATGCCTATAATTTACAATAATGTATTAGTTAATGAAATTGTTCACTAAGCTATATGAATCAATTCTATAATTGTTCTGTTTACAACAAAATAGTCATCACGGTCATTCTTCATTAATTCTAGTAACAAATTACTTACTGAGCCAAACCATCCTGACACAACCAATAAGCTGAGTTACTCTTGTCTGAGCAAAGGAGACTAAATCAAGTTATGAGATATGATGAGTGATCTACATATAAACTGTCCATTTGAAGCTATATGACAAGTTTGTCATGCTAATCAATCTTGCCATTTCATACATCACAATAACTAAAATGAGAGAATGAGGGTCTCTTATATCTACCCCTATATATTTAGCATCTGCTACTTCAACGCAGCATTGTTTCCTTCACCATTTAAAATATCTTCCATTACACTTTTAGTATCTCATCCTGTGCAAAACCTATGACTCCCTGGGCTTGTTTGGATTATTCTACCATATGCAAGGCACTATAGGTATCAGAGATTTGTGCCATTTTTTCAGAAGTTACGGTAAACTTGAGACCTCTCCCGCGACAGGAAATAATCATTTATCAAGTTGCCAGATGCATTTCTCCTACTTTGGATATTTCATGCATATTTGAACATTTATTGGATATCTACAACAGCACAATCCGCCAAAAGATAACAAAAGCCATCTAGGATATTATACTCCAAAATACTGTGTATCAGTCAAAAAAATAACCAGTACATTGAACAGTTAGCCGCTAACCTAACTGTGGCCATTCCCATTACGTCACAGGAATGGGTTGAGCTTAATGACATGTCTTGCCTCCGATTATGAGACACCCTAATTGCCACAGGAAAAGATGACATTATATTTTGAATTCCAACTTCTTATGCACAAGTCAAGCATTTTGCACATTCACATCAACCAACCATGTAAAAATGTAAAGTGTCATGGCAGAATTATCTATCTACAAACAACTATTTTGTTATTTATGTTAGCAATCATGTCAGTATATCATTTGAACAGACTTTAATGTGCAGTTGTTGCATCTGTTATTACTTATCATCCCTATGCCGCCATCATTTCTTTCATAGCTCCTTCATAGAAGGGATATACGTAAAGAGATTGTCAATGTAGAAGTTATCAGGAGAATGTTTATCCAGTATGTTCACTTTTTCTTCAAAAGTCTTCAGAACAGAAGTAGTAATAACAGCCATGAATATTTATGAGATTATAACAACATGAAAAATATAGTATATGTACTAGTGGCTATGGATTAATCATAGGTGATATATATATCACAACAGATTGAATATATTATAAATAAATTCAGATATATCAGGAAGCATCTTACATCATATAAAAATATGCATATATGCACAGGTTAAGAGAATCAATGTAAAAAAAAAAAGATCCTTGCAAAGAAGACAGAGTAACTTGCTCACATTTAAGAAGAGGTTGTTGTTTCCAGTGAGAAGTCGGGGAGATACACTTCAGCTTACTTTCAATGAGCAAAGTGGTAAGTATAAGCTTTAACACCTATGTTAATATGTTGTTGCATGTCTAGTCTGCATGACTGTTAATCCTGTTCAGACCTGCCTCACACTAGAGGCACTGGATACAACAGGTATCAAGTGGATTAACATGACAAATAAATAATACTGGGTAAAATGGGTTAAAGCAACACAGCCATTCAGGAACAGCATAACAATAACCTTGAATTGTGCATCAATAACTGAATTACCTACTGATAATATAAAGTACAGGTTAAAATATGCAGAATACTTCTAGTTTCATACGAACAAATGATATAAGGAAACCTCGGAAAACTTTGAATGTAATGGATAGAATGACAAAACTTCAAGTAGTGCAACAGCTAATATTTTGGTATACATTTAGATAGTGACTAAGATAGAGAAAATCTAATGACACTGCCACAACAAAAGGGAAAAACAACATTAACTTATGCAGCAAAAAATCTGCAAAAGCAAAGAATTACATAGGGAATTCAGAAAGTAGGTCACAACAAATGCCATATGATTTGGCTGGGATTGGGGGCAGAGTCCCTAAAAGGCTATATAGTGATCAGGTGGGGGTTTGGGGGCAAAGCCCCTAGGTCTGGAAGGTTTTTGGTTAATATGGTGATGTTTACGGATTTTTGGGAATGGCTGGAGTAATAAGGGCTTATTTTCAGAGGGTTGTGTTCACTTTGCAAATAATTACCAATGCTTCCAGTTATATCATATACAATTAAAAACAATAACATATGCCTATTATACTGTAAATAAATGACACAAGAAATAAAAATTGCAAGGTTGGATGTCAGTGTGAAACAAATCACACACAATAACAGTACAATATACCTACCAGATTGGAAAGTTTGTACTGCTCAGCGGAGAGCTCCATCATGTAAAACAGGAGGATTGAAATGGAAAGGCCAGCCGTAGAATGCCAACTACCCACAATAAATTAGGTCAGCGCTCCTGCAGTCTCGAAGTCTGAACGTTTCATTTAGGTAAAAACAACGAAATGAATCACAACAAATGAGACGTTTTAAATATGATAATGATTAGACTTTACAGGAATACAAAGCAAAACATCAGGTCTGGAGAGTTTATATTTGAAATTTGAGGAAGTTATCATATGTACCTTCACAGATATCTTCCAAATACACATTTTAAAGAACAAACTTTCTCATCAACCACGCTGTTTGCAAACTTTCTAATCTGGTGTATCAATACATAATACACTCATTATCTGAAACACTGCAATTAGTATGCTGCTAGTATGAAAACACTTCTAATAGTAACAATAAAAATATCTATAGTTCTACTATCAGTTTACAGCTACTATGATTATAGTTACTGTTGAAAGACTACAACTACTGACAATAAAACTTACTAGTATGTCAACTAAAACCCTGGTACTACTACTATAAAATTACAACCTACTATTTAACCAAGTTAATGTGAAGATCTTCATACCTGCTAATAAACAATATTCCAAGAGACCTCTACCTTGTTAGGAAAACATATTAGCATAAAATTATAAACTCATTCAATCTATAAAAAATATTTGGTAGTTCGCTCCCGAAAACTACTCTCTACATATACTTCATGTACAGCAGTCAGAATTCTACTTCCTACATCAACTCTTTTCCATTAATTACTTAGACTACAAACTACTTTTCAAATTGACATGTGTTCTCTAGCCATGACCTCTGACCTTGTTTCCCGACACGCCCACTTCTGTTGACTGGGAAAGAGACGCGTTACACGATGTTGAACGTGTGTTTTACTCTCACGCGATATCTATGGAGTTTTTGAGAATGACAGCTACTCATATTGATGGAAAACAGTCTGTTTACAAAGATTTTCACGTAATCAGGTATCAACTCACAGGAATATTCGAATAAAAAGGCGAAGATGCTGGAAAGGCTGACTTCCTTCTCTGACCTTCCTGGGGGGATGTTTAGACTAGCGTCGTTCGTTTGGGTTTTGTTATGTAGCAGGCTACGCTATATAGTGGAATTTCCTTTGATAATCTTACAAGATAAAAGTTCTCTTATTCGTTTTTGGCTTGAATTTTTCTTTGTATATTGGAGATGATATTGCTAATATGCTAATGACGTTCATATATATCCAAGGGTATATTAGGATACATTCTGAAATGACAATTTGCACGTTGTACACGACGTTCGCTTGCTTCAAAATTACTAGCGACTTTCGCTAAGATTTTTTTTTTTTTTTTTTTTTTTAAGATTCGTCTGGTCTTTCTAGTAAGTTTCGCTAAATACTCACATTGGCATAACGTTCACTTACACGAATTATATTGAAACTGTATTTTCACTTTCACGTTTCTGAATGAAAAAAAAAAAAAAAATCTTGACTTATGCTGCTTTTTATATCAGTGACATCATAAGTTGGGAATTTTTATTTAATCTAAACTTACTTTATGTATGACCGAAAACATATGCAAGTAAATTGTAACAAGCCTTATTGCATATATCATTCATCCGTGCGAATGAATTTACGGTTGTCTGATATGAAACTATTTTTAGGAACCAAATAGACAATGCTTTGACTTATGACGTCACTTATCTTTAAATAGTAAGGTGACTGTCCATTGACACTGTTATACTATCAATCTAAACAAAGTATCGCAATGTCTGACGTAGTTGAATGACGTCATAATGATTCATCTTTCATATCAGTGCAGCCATTCTTTCCTTTCCTCTCTCTCTCTCTCTCTCTTACTTTCCTCTCTTCTCTCTCTCTTCTCTCTTCTCTCTCTCTCTCTCTCTCTCTCTCTCTCTCTCTCTCTCTCTCTCTCTCTCTCTCTCTCTCTCTCTCTCTCTCTCTCTCTCTCTCTCTCTCTCTCTCTCTTCTCTCTTCTCTCTCTCTCTCTCTCTTCTCTCTTCTCTCTCTCTCTCTCCTCCTCTCTCTCTCTCCCTTTCCCACTCCTTTCCCTCTACCTTTACCTCTCCCTCTGCCTATCTAAAATAGTCCCTCTCTCTCTCCTTACTTGCACCTCTCCCGCTCTCCCAGCTCCACATTCAGCGAGATATCAATAGAGAGTACATAGTACGGCACCAGGAAGTCGCCAAGCCCCGTACTGTCCGAGATAGAGTTCCTGATGCCAAGAGAACGAACAATTCCTGAAACTGGAAAAGGGAAGGAGAGTAAACGGGTGAAATCTGACTGTGAAACTGAAGGCTAAGAAGAAAATGTGAATGGCATCAGTTAAACAGAATTATCTCAGATGCGTTAATGTGTGCTGGTGTGAGCGTTATTCATTTACTAGGAAATTAGTTGAATATGCATTCTTTATTCAGGGTATATACAATGCAGCATTTTCAAAACAAAAGCCTTTCTTCACGTTGATCTCTCTCTCTCTCTCTCTCTCTCTCTCTCTCTCTCTCTCTCTCGTCTCTCTCTATCTCTGCTTCTCTCTCTCTCTCTGCTTCTCTCTCTCTCTCTCTCTCTCTCTCTCTCTCTCTCTCTCTCTCTCTCTCTCTCTCTCTCTCTCTTTCTCTCTCTCTCTCTCTCTCTCTCTCTCTCTCTCTCGTCTTTCTCATCTTCTCTCTCTCTCTCAAGTCACTTATCTACAGTGGGCTGCCTCTCCCATTTTTATGGCTTCCCCTTGCCCTACCCAACTGTAGTTACTATTATGTTCATTATACCGTATAAAACATAAATAACTTAAGTTATAAGTTAATCAAAGGTTATCTCAGATAGTTTCAATAATTTTTTTGTTCATTAAAACTTCAGATCAGTATGGCATCATTCTGATTCATCATTCACTATTTCTGGAAACCTTAAAATGAATTAAATTACTCTATTTCACATATATCTCGATATCATTGATATTTTCACTCATATATATCATTATTCTTCAAGACATAGGTTCTTATTTAATAGATATTGTATTTCTCGTGTCGATGTACTCCAAGTGATTTAATTAGTATAAGTGTTGTTTCTTTTTGTTTCGTGTACCACTGTGTTCAACCCAACCAGTATCTCTGTGGTGTGGTTCTCTCCTTTGTTCAGTGTCCTATTATGTAGGAATGACAAAATGGGATAATATTAAACACTGTGTGTGAAAAGAACTTATACATTTATTAAGTAATAATACTTACAATTTGACCATAGTTCCTAGGCCCGCCTTCCGCTAACTTCGGGGAAAAGACGAACTGGAATCTACAGCTAACTTCACCCTAATACTAGAATTAATTTCTAGTTAGTTAAGCTAGTTTTCACGGCTAATCACGCCGTATTCTTCAAATGAGTTCCAGGAGTCAACACCGATTCACTTCACTCAATGATGTTTCAACCTGAACTGACTTCAGGAATTTTAGACCTAGGGGTGCCAGGTCATCTAGACAGAGGCCTGGTTGTTCGGTTGTATGGATGCTGAGGTGGCACTTTGAGAAGGCGACTTGGTATTTTGGCCCTTATCTCGAGTTAAAGTAACCACCAAGATCGTCCACAAGTATTTCACCTCTAACATAAACACAACCTACAACTACAGCCTCACTACCACCAAACTCTATTTTGTGGTTTTATTCCCTTAGAATTTTATATCATCATAACTAATCAAGCGTTACGATTTACCAATTAAATGCATTAATAATGGCAAATTAAGTGTCACTGCTTCTGGCCGATGACATACTCCCCCGCTTAAATCACGCGTCCTCGAGTGACCGCGAATCGCTATGGGTGTGCATCTATCGGGCTTAACGCTCATGTACATCAGAGCAGCCAACTCCTTACAGATTCCCCTATAACCTCCTCCAAAACCATACCGAGATGACTACTAGGCAAAGGACTAAAATAGGTCCTACAGCAAACTCCCTTGATAATGTGACTGTACAATAACATAACGATGCTCTGTACGGCTAACCAGAACAGCATTACCTTCTTCGATCAACGCAATGGCCTGTTTCAACCCGTGAACTGACTCCTTTAATATTGCTCAATCAGTTAACTGTTCATTTACTTATCATCTCGATACCTTTGGATTAGAGGGATTTCATCACATACATCTAACACATGATATCCGAAATTACTTTACAACACGTGCTAAAACAAAATGGATATAATTCTACTTACAGGATGACTAAATAATCCTACTCCATCCTCTAATTTTAGTGCAAACTCGATCGTCCAACTCAAAAAGTTAAGAAACTTGCCTACTCACCACCGCCCTTCAACCCTACATAATCAACCAATTACTTTCTGGAACACCGAGAGTTTCCTCCAAATTGTCTAGCAAAGAAACGATACACTTGCAAGGTGTGCTGCTTTCTCAATGTGCAGGAAGTTGTATCTGGTTCTTGCTAATCTTCTCTGTTACGGAATACTCTTCTCCCGGGCTGTCAGGTCATAGTCTAACAACCCAACATCAGGTGTTCCTTTGGTTCCGACTATCTACGCTCATCTTGAGGTTACGGGTCGTAAGAAGGTTCAGACAATCAATATGGAACAATCAGTGCTATCCGCATCATTCTCTTCAATTTTCAACCATCTATCTGCAATATAGAACACTTTTACAACAATGTTGGTGACCATCCTGTCCCCCCCTTAATCTAATTAGCTGATTAGTCCGTTTGTTAGTGTGGTTGATTAATCCTGCGGTCCTTCATGCAGCCTAGTATAGTATCCCGGTGGATATCTCGTGCGTCCACTGGTACGTCTACCATGCTCACTCAACTCATCATGCACAGTTTTATTGTTACTTCTTTCACTCTCAGTACTTGCACTCGCATCATTAGTTGCAACCTCTGGTTTTGGTGAAAGGTCTTTAGTGTTTGTGTCATGCCTAATATTATAAGAATCAGTGGTTTGTAGTCCATCAGACTCATCAACATTCATACTAGGTAACACATTAACATTATTCGAAACATTAGCTTTATCAGCATTGTTGGAATCTCCTGCAACTACATCTTGTGCTAGGTCATCTACCTCACTTGACTCTTGAGCCCAATCTTGGTTGCTCTCTGAAGTTCCTTTTCCATCGTCATTCGTTGGGAAGTTCATGACATACTCTTCTTCACGTGCTTCTTCTTCTTCGGATGTACCTTCAGGTCTAATATCTGAATGTGTCTCCTGTGGATAAGGTCTTCTTGCTTCTGGGGCTAGCGATCTCGGAATACTGGCCTCCAGCGCGATCTTCATATTCTCGAGATGAACTTCCTTCATCTTTTCTGTCTGTAGGTGTTTAATCCTGTAGACATATGGTCGTATTTGCTCAACGACTCGGAAGGGTCCTTCCCAGCGGGGAGATAATTTGCTGTCACCCTTCTTCTTCACAGCCTTGATGAAAACTCTCATCCCAGGCAGTACTGTAGTGTCTTTGGATTTCTTCTGGCGAATCCTACACTGTTCATCTGCTGCTCTTAGCAAGTTGTCTCGTACATATTCGTACACCTCTTTGGACCGTTGAGTCCTTGCAGTTATGAAATCCTCATCAGGTGGACCTCCAAAACTTGTGGGTCTGGTCCACCAAAGGTCTGAAGTCTTCAGGTCCCGGTTGTACATGGCGTAATACGGCGTATCGCCAATTGCTTTGTGGTAAGCAGAATTTAAAGCCATTTGGGTGTCCTTTAGGTAAAGATCCCAGTACTGATCTTTTCCGTCCACCATCCCTCGTAGAATATTGAGAACTTGCTGATTGGTCCGTTCACAGAGTCCATTGGACGCTGGATGGTATGCAGTAATTTATGATGCTGAAACTGCATATGCTTCCATCTCCTTCAGGATTTCATTCCTAAATTCGTCCCTGGTCCGTTAATACCGTCTGAGGAATCCGGTCTGCAAACACCTCACTTACAGCCTCAGCTACGGTCTCAGCATATTTGTTGGGTAAGGCTCTGACAACGGCAAATCGTGTCAAAAAGTCCACTATTACCAAGATATACTGGTTTCCTCGCTCGGTCAGAGGGAAAGGTCCCATCAGATCCATCGAAACCATTTGGAAAGGTTCCAGTGGAACAGGATATCTTCTTAAGGGAGTCAGTGGGTGTGCACGCCCCTTAAACTTCGC